GCCTTTGCCAGTTTAATTTGGAAGGCTTGAGGCTAAAAAACATGCTGTGCCGGTCCGGACCTGCTGCGTCTCACCGGCACTGTAACTCAGGAAACCAAGTGATGCCCAGCCTGAGCGATTCTTAGAGGGAGCTAGCAAGCCGGTTCCTTTTTAAATTTCACGGGCTTTAACAATGGCAGCTGCAAGACGCGTCTATGAAATTGACGCTTTAAAATTAGCTCCCTATGGCTGGGGAGTGAAGGAGAATAATCCAGAGGTTCAACGATTGAAATCCTACCACCCTGGGGGGGGGAGATTCCCCCTCCAGCTCTAAAGACCACGTGGTGTTAAAATGGCGACCGGCTCTTTGTTAGTCTGCCGACGATCAGCTGTGGCTTCAAAGAAAGCCTGTCGGATCCGCTCCGCATGGCAGAAGCAGCAATGAGCGAACAGCTGTACGTCTACTACCCCTCCGGACCTCTAAGGGAAATAAAATTAAATTAATATGACCTGATCTGGCAATTTGGATTCTAGAGCCAAGAAGCATGTCCTCTCGGGCGAAAGACTAAGTCGAGATTGGGTTCCTGTCTTGGAACTTGGCTGACTTAGTCTATATGGGCAGAAGACGAAGCTAACCCATTGGTGGATTCTCCATTCGTCATGCTGGAAAATTGTGCAAGCCAAATTCATCAACATTTTTAAAATTCTGACTGCAAGATCAGCCCAAGAACTGAATAGGGGCCACAGAATGTGAGGATTGACATTTTGGGATCTAAAGCATCTCCTATGTATGCCATCCAGCTTAGCTATGCTGATTTCTTGTGTGTGTGTGTGTGTGTGTGTGTGTGTGTGTGTGTGTGTGTGTGTGTGTATGTTTAGTACTAGAGCTTTCCAAAGTAATTCAGAGTCCATTTCCAAGGCTGAGAGGAATGTAAAAGGGAAATCAATGCCTCCCTTTAGCCACAGAGAATAAACATAGACTTATACCATAACAACCTAGGATTGCAGAATTTGCAGTTTGAATGATCAGGATTGATCAATCAATCCACATTTGAAAAGTACAAACTTCACTATATTCCACTTCTATTTCTAATGTTTCTGAAACATGTGAACTGAATCATGAGAAAGTCATCAGGAGAACTGAGATGAAACCGAATATGAGACAATGAAATAATGGCCAAATGAAAATAATATTGCAAATGAGGCTATAAAACCAAAGAACAGCTGTGTCCTACTATTACATACAAAGTTTGTCCTGGCTCATTTTTATGATGGCTGGATAAAAGAGGAACAACCTTAAAACTGAAGAAGCCTCTATTTTTACAACCAAGAAATAAGTTGGATTTCAAAGTGAAAGCAATCTACCTGCTGAAATCTCTGTAACTTTGCACCTTTACTCTCAGTAAATTTTGTTAAATATTGAAGAAGATTGTTTCTGGTTAAGTTAAAGTTGGCTCCAAGGTCTTGACAACAGTAAACAAGCCACAGATGCCACTCATGGAATATTAAAATATTTATGACATTTTAACTGTCTACAGTTTTCATAAAGTGGGGAAATGATATGGGAACAACTTGGGACTATTTATTCTTATCTCACCCTTTACAACAATAATACCCCTAGCAATAAAGACAAGAAAGGAATAACCTTAAAGTATAAATCGGTTTAGTGGAAATTGTTATTTAATTGTTTGCCACTTTGGCAATTGTTTTGAATTTAGAAATGCAGATAAAATCATTTTCAAAATTATATGTTCCACAACATTGAGTTTCAATCACTTAGGTACAAAATGATTAAGGAAATCTTGATATCTGTAAAAGATTTTATATATGTAAATGAACTTGTACAGATTAATGACATGTTTTATCTTTGTTTCTTTATTTCCTACCTACTCCCTACCATCTGTTGATTTCCCATAATGCCAAAAGTCCTTTGGTTTTTTGTTTTTGCCATTCTCTGTAAATATTATGGACATATAATGCATACTAAGTTGGAAGTGATAAGTGTTTTTTCCTAATCTTTTTATAACAACTTGTATCCACCAGTCATTTGGTAATTGCTCTAGTCTAGAACAAGTCAGGAGAGGACACAGGAAAACAGATGAAAATGTTATCTTCCTCTTTCTTCAGAAAAAAGCCATTGCTGGATGCTAGTTTATTCTGGAATCAGTACTCTGAATCCAACCAATTACATTTTATTACAACTATGCTATACTTTCTTAACTCATAAGTAAGTGTCATATGTTTAATGGAGCTAACTCCCTTGTAAGTACTTAAGTGTGATTTAGATACCAATTAAAATATTAAAACAACAATATTAAAATATTTGTATAACCAGCTTCATATATTGCAATTAGACAAACAATCAATTAGTAGTTTTTTATATAACAGTATAGTCCAAGAAGAATGACTGAAATATAATAGCAAACATCAATACTTATTAGCAATTTAATCTTAATCCTGTTTACTAAGAAGCAAGCCTCTCTAAAGTCAACAGAGATTATTATGTGTATGGGGTAAAAATAATCATGGGTGTTTATAACATATCCCTTAAATATATCACAAAATATGAATGCTTTACCCTTGACCAGTCAGTTTAAATATGTGATTGTATTTACATGCATTGTATATAACAAATTACTATTAATTATGTTAGTTAACAATGAATTTGCTTCAATACATACACTTCTTCATAATTAAATGATCCTGGAATTCTCATTTCACCTATTTTATAATAGATCATTGCTTAATTAAATATACATTTTAAGAAGAGGGGGAAATACCTTTGTTCATTGTTTTAGATGAAAAACAAAGCAGCATAAAATAAGAACAGAGACAAATTTTAGCTGAAGGTCCTACTTCAGCTAAACCTTTTCAGTGACTTCAATAGAAAGATAATCTTTCTGTGATTATGACCAAACCCTCTCGTTGCTTAGCAACACATAATTAAGGAATATGTTTTGAGATCCGCTTTGCAAGCTGGCCATTATCAGATGAAATTACTGGAGCAACAAATGTCATCCTCATGCAAATGAATTGGTTGTAGAGAAAGAATGTTTGCCTCAAGAAGGATGCTTTTCCACATCGAACTATACTGTCCATATTGTCTTCTAGCAGGCAAATAGTTTCAAAAACAAAGACAGCCACTGTCTACCCCATCATATAAAGATAAATGGCATAGTTTAATAAGAAGAAAGGCAGCAAAATATTCTAAGGTATACAGACTTTTAGTATTTACATTAGGGCCTTTTGTTTTCAGGGCAGAGAAGATATGGGGAAATTATTTCCACCATGGATGGCATAAATGTTTGCCACCACTCAAAGAATACAAAAATTATGTGGAAAAATATCTGTCTGATGCTAGTAGACATTATTAGGTAGAGAAGGACTGTATTGGGAAGTTGTTTAATTTTTGTTTTATTTTCATTGTTTGAGACAGCACTAAATAATCATAAAACAAAACTACTGATTATTTGTGACTTTGTATTGGTCTTCTTTAAAACAAACAAACTTCCCCTCACAAGTTGAAATATGTCTTCATATGCAAACAATTTTACAAAAATAATTATTGTCCATTCTTCAAAAACTGCAGTGAGCCCCAGCTGTCTTCAGTTCTAATCAGAAGTTTTTATTCAAAAATAAGCAGCAGGACTAGAAAAATAACCACTTCTGTACTAATATTAGTGCTACATATCTCAATACAAGCTCTTTCCTCACTGTTTAATTGTAAAGACTAGAAGCTAAATTGGTTCCTGATATATACTTAAACACAGCGTTCTCAATTATTTAAGATATATGTATTATTTCCAAAAATGTACCTTGAACAATTTTTTATTTTTAAATAGTTAAGAGGCAGTATGTCTGCCTTTTGTTAATTGTATCCGTTGCTGTGTTGAAATAAAGCTGCTTTACAAAAAGAAGCATCTTTTTAATGCTTAGAACTGATATATTGGGAACACAATCCAGCTCAAAGTGAGCACTTTAAAATACAATAAAAGGGAGTTAAAAGACACATCACTGAAATCCATGGGACTGAAATGCATTTCAGGGTCTTGATGGTGCTTGCTATTTTTCTTTATTATTTATTTGGGAAAAGGAGCAATCTGTTTTTCAAGACTCCATGCTAATTAATTGTTGGAACGTTTACTTAATGTAAACTCCACTTAATTCAGAAGGATTTTTCCCATGAGATGTTTATAGTATACAGCCGAGGCACAAAGTAATTTTTGCCAGCCTGTCCTCTTAAAGGAGGAGATACATTTTCTAACTTTGATTCCTATAATTTCAGTGACTGTTACAGCTTTTATTGGGATTTACTGAACGTGTCTTACTTAAGGATCTGCTCCCTTGCAAAAGGACAGTAATTTGTTCAGCTTCATAACCTTAGAAAGTTACCAGGACATATACTCTTCATTAAAACGCCAAGCATTCTGACAACTGGCACTTGGATTTAGATATATACAGATTATATTTTGTTAAATTACTTCTATACTGGTGGATATTTCCAACAGAAATCAACAAAGTTTTGTTTAGGAAAGATTATTTTAGAAAGGAAGAACACTGGCTGAACAAGACCTACGATCACAGCATGGCAAACTTAGTAAATATTATCACAGAACCCTCATCAATTCCTTAAAAATATCCTTGAACTGATAGAAATTAAACAAAGTCACTCAAAAATTAAAAGCAGAAGGCAAATAGTATCTAATCTTACAAACATTGCAAGAGAAATGGCAAGATTCAAGGCATAATAAAAGATTTGGTTTACTTGCCTCTTTAATTTGTAATAAACCATTTTAAACACACTTATTGAAACTAAACAATAACTTCCAACACTGGAGTTTCTAGTATACAGAGGAGTGTGTGTAAGTATGTATAATAAAATAGATTAATGCTCCTCACCTTGATGCAAGAGATTATATATTTGTAGCCCCATTAGAACATTGAGGGTTTTTTTTTTTAAAAAAAGCATGAATATAACAATCCTAATGCATTCTACAAAGCAATATATTTTAAATAGTTACTTGGCTCAGGAGATGTCATGGTGGAGACGATGACGGGTGGACCTGTACGCCTTGTAGATCTCTGACATGGTGAATGATGCCCTGGAAAACTCGGTCCCAATGGAGCCAGACTGGGTTCCACTTGGACTCCTTGCTTTCGAAGAATCTGAGGACTGTTGTGAGGGCTGTGAGCAGGGGACGATAGTGGATTTCTTTTCATCAGTTCCATGGGGACAGTGTATGTGGTTGAATATGCTATTTTGGAATTTGCATGTGGATTTGTTTGCAGTGTATTCATAGGAATTGCAGAAGGGGCCGAATAGCCAGTTGCTTGACGAATATGCATATTGCATGGACCTGAAGTACTATATCCAGAACTGGGAAGAAAAGGAGTGACTTGAGGAGAAAACCCTGTTGCAGTTTCCAAAAGATGCTGTGTCGGGGCACTAGACGGACGGCGACTTAATTCTGCTATTCTTGGAGATGGCAGTTGCATTGAAGCAGTTGGTGACTGATATGCTGCTACACCATCCACTACAGGGTTGGTGAAAGGATGCAACCCGTACTCATTCTGGAGCAATTCACTTCGGTGACTGAAACTATTTGATCTGTTTCTGGGACGAATAGCAGTATTTTTCCTAGATTGCCTCTGGAGTTGCATTTCTACTTTGTAAGTATGAACAATTTGAGAAAGCACTTTTGCTTGCCCTAGATTTGGAGCCACTGATTTTATGTCATTGTCCTCCATCATTGCTAACAAACTCGGAGAATCAAATCCTTGTTGCAGCAATGCACCGAGAGTGCTTTCTGATATTCCTTCAGAACGCATCATTGCTAAATATTCCGGATCCACATTCCTTTTAATGTCCTGTCCAGGAAAAGATGCAGGCATCTGCATTTGGGAAGATTGCATTGTTGTTTCATAGCCATCATAAGGGACTTTTGTACTGAAATTGTCTCTGACTGGTCCGTGACCACGGTTTACAGAAGTGGCAGGCAGCATTAAATTTCCATCAGGGGCTGCAGCTGAATTTGGATCAACTACCAAACATGTCGGAGCAACTTGTTTACTGGCTGCAGAATCTACAGATCTCTCTACCACGTCATTATAAGTCTGTCGATAAGGAAATACAGAAGGTTCTGCTCTGCATCTAGATGCAGGGGGTTCAACACCATACCTTGTTAGAGAAGGATCTCTATTTCGAATTCTCTGTGCTTCAGGAACCATCTTGATCACAGGATCTCTGTATACATGGCTGCCTTCATGGGGTACAGGTGACCGTACTTGCATCTGATCCCAAGCCAATCTACCACTAGGCATGCCATAATTCGATAAAGGTCTGTTAGTCATGTGATCTCTATAGTAGCACGAATCTCTAGGTGATCTAGTAGCTAAAGAAGGATCATTGTAGTAATCCTGAGGTGGCAAGGAACTCCGTGCAGACATTGCAGGCTGTCTGTCGTAATATGTAAAATCAGGAATGGAACCTCTCCACAAGGAACTCTGCGTAAAATGTGGCTCCGGATACCGATACAAATCTTGCTTCACGTCCGTACCTCCTTGCAAGATGGTATCATGTGGTTTACAACTTGGCTGCTCACACCAAAACCCCTCACCACCATAGGTTAGTGAATTCCTTCTCCCTGGAGGTCTCTGGCATTCAAACATAGCATCGTTCTCCCAGGAGCCTTCGTCCCATCCTGCAGCATCCCAGCTCTGAGAGCGGCCAATATGTCTGCTTAGAACTGGCATTCAGCAATATTTAGCTTTTAGAAGGACAGGAAATCTCTCCTGTAAAATCTTCGGTTACACACATAAACAAATACAAAAAAAAACCCCAGAAGCCCTGTATCTGAATCCTTCTGGGCTTTAGGAAATAGTCCAGCAGGTGGTTTACTATTTCAAAGTGCTGCCTGAATTATTTATTCTTCGAAACTTTAGTTGCAAAACAAGAAAGGTCTAACAGTAACTCAGCCTGGCTCAAAATAAGTAGAACGGAAAGGTCTTTTCTGTATAATTCAGATGCAGAAAGGAGTTGCTCTGCTTAATCCAGATTTATCCCTTCCTGCCTGCAACGGCTAGCTCACATGGACAAATACACAAACACTGTGTGAGGATTAAAGGCTAAATAAAACTCTAAAGCTTTTGTTCCATGTGACACTATTTTAGTCTGATGCAGGCAACTGCATCAACCCCTACACACGTCTTAGTATATTTTCTACCACAGATCATGACCACTATGTGCTATTTTACATACAAACATACACAGACAGGCTTTACGCATCACAAGGCATAACATTTATTCTAAATTATACCTTGAGAAAAAAATTCCCTGGCAAGAAAAGGAGAGATGGTGGCGAGTATGGGAGCTTCATGTCAATTCAATTTTAATCCATCCTGATGAAATACTAATCCACAACAAACAGCTATGGAGACATTAAATAGGTACAGGTGTGCTGATCCCAAGAAGCAAGGTACACAAGTATATAAATCAATCATGCTTAGAACAAGCTAGGCATCGGTACAATACTTTATCAATGTCATACATTACTGGGGAATCAGAGAGAGAAAAGCAATGAAAAAAGGAAGCCAGTTTTAAACTAACCACTCTTAATTATTACATTATCCTCATAATTCTCCAATCCCTTCATCATCCAGGAAAGGAATCTGCACAGATTTAATTTGGAATTTATAATATGAAGGTTCGAGAAGAGGTCACAGAAAGAGGGCAAAAAGCCTTGATTTTACAAATCTGAAAGAACAGTGTTTTTCCAGCTGCTACACACACAAACAACACAAATTAAATTTTCATTATTTCAATTTTGATGTAGATCATGCATTCACATCGTAAAGCAACAAAGGAAATTTATCTTGGCAAATCTTGGTGAACATTTCAGAAGTTCCTAACAATCCTTTTCAAAATACTAACAAAGTAAATAAAATACATTTCAGTAATGTGGACGCAGATTACTGTTTCCCTGATATAATAAAAACTGTCTAAGAACAATTAATATCTTTATTATTTCTTGAACACAATAGAAAATATAGATTAATGTAATATTTTGTTTATTAAAAAATACCATACAAAACTAGATAGTGCTATTGTGACAGACAGGTCACTAATTCATTCTAATATATCTTTCATATAATTACCATAAAGATACCATATATATTTCATGGATGGAAACTAATAACATATAGCTATGGTTTGTCACTGTGGTCAAAGTGGGGGAAGATAATTTAAGTCTTCTGATTAAATTTGGACAGTTTAAACAGAGTGCCCACTAATGATTATTTATGGAATGTTCTTTCTAAATGGCAATACTTTGGCAGAAATTCACTTTATCCTGAAAGTCTGTTTCCACTACTTGAAATAATGATAGAATTAATAAAAGGAATCTACATAACTTCTTCAGCTAGTCCATTCTGCAAGAACATTCCCGTGTTTATCTAAATTTTAACAATAATTATTGTACTTTCCATGAATACCAAACATACTGACAAAACATATTAACCATCTCTAAATTTGTTTTATTTTGTTAAGTACTCCATTTTTTCCAAAGAATGTTATTTTCAATACAGTGAATTTAAAAATAAAGCTACCTTATTTTTTCATTTTAAAAAATTGATCATAATTGGCAACACATTGAACATCCTGTTCACAGATGCTCTTGGCTCAGCCAATCAGGCTACATGTTTTAAATGAGTCCTTGGTTTACTCCATCAAGTCAATGAGAGACAGATTACACCCCACTCATAAGATAAGTAGGTTCTCTTTGAAGCCCTAAAACAAACATTGGCTAATTTATACCTACTACTATCAAGATTGTTTGTGTGCATCTGAATATGCTATCTCTTGCTGTAGCATTCTAATGTGTTTAGTTGCTGTTGGTCAAATATGGAGCATGAACTTGTATCACAAATCTTGTAGAGATATGTTCTGGAGTTATGTTTCTTACTCTAACAGTCTGAAATCTGTGAAATGCTTGGGAAATCTACAGTTCAGGCCCTTACACTACAGACAATGTGATTATGTAATGAGGGAGAAGAAACAATTTCAGGAGCTCTGAATAAAAGTTAAGACCATTGAGTCCATGATTTAACTAGGATGTGTACCACTTTCAGAAGTATTAGGTACACTGTCTTTAGGGTTTCTTTGATTCCAATCTAAATTTATTTATTTATTATTTATTTATTATTTATATTTCTACCCCGCCCTTCTCCCTGCGGACTCAGGGCGGCTTACAGCCTTTTAAAAACAAATACATAAATACAAAAATACTAAAGTTAAAATGTTAATTAAAATGAAATATTATTAGGCCATTATTATTTTTAAAAAATTATTATAAAACCAAGCTAAAAATAACCCTTAGGCCAGTCCTGCCAA